AATTGGGAGGGATAGCCAATAGTCCAGAGGACAGGAGCAGAATTCAAAACGATCTTGACAGATTAGAGAGATGGGCCAAAACTAACAAAATGAAGTTCAACAGTGACAAATGTAAGATACTCCACTTTGGCAGAAAACATGAAATGCAAAGATACAGAATGGGTGACGCCTGGCTCGAGAGCAGTACATGTGAAAAAGATCTTGGAGTCCTCGTGGACAACAAGTTAAACATGAGCCAACAATGTGATGTGGCGGCAAAAAAAGCCAATGGGATTTTGGCCTGCATCAATAGGAGCATAGTGTCTAGATCTAAGGAAGTAATGCTACCCCTCTATTCTCCTTTGGTTAGACCACATCTGGAATATTGTGTCCAATTCTGGGCACCACAATTCAAGAGAGATATTGACAAGCTGGAATGTGTCCAGAGGAGGGCGACTAAAATGATCAAGGGTCTAGGAGAACAAGCCCTATGAGGAGCGGCTTAAGGAGCTGGGCATGTTTAGCCTGAAGAAGAGAAGGCTGAGAGGAGATATGATAGCCATGTATAAATATGTGAGAGGAAGTCACAGAGAGGAGGGAGCAAGCTTGTTTTCTGCTTCCCTGGAGACTAGGACGCGGAACAATGGCTTCAAACTACAAGAGAGGAGATTCCATCTGAACATGAGGAAGAACTTCCTGACTGTGAGAGCCGTTCAGCAGTGGAACTCTCTGCCCCGGAGTGTGGTGGAGGCTCCTTCTTTGGAAGCTTTTAAGCAGAGGCTGGATGGCCCTTTGTCAGGGGTGCTTTGAATGCAATATTCCTGCTTCTTGGCAGAATGGGGTTGGACTGGATGGCCCATGAGGTCTCTTCCAACTCTTTGATTCTATGATTCTATGATTCTATGTACTCAGCATTCACACTACACATATTCATTCACCATTCACACCAGAAACATCTTGCAGTTTCTCAAGTTGCTCCTGACATGAAAAAAACAAAAACAAAACCATTCACAATGTATACATCACCATTCTTCCTCCATCTCTTGGAGAAGAACACCTGCTCTTAGGCCAGACTGCGTTTGTGCAGATCTGTCTCCTTTCCAATACTTCCAATATGTACAATACTTTGCAAAAATGCATTCCTTCCCTTCCAATCTGAGAAGTCTAATTGTCTTTAGAACAGGATGTGCAACCTTTGCCCAGCGGGAAGCCAGGGGGCCTAAGGAGAAGTTCTCAGAGGTTTCCACCACAAACAGTCTTTAGATGGCTTGAGAAGTACAACAAAGTCCTTTATTAATGAACAATCAACTTCTCTTGTCTTCAGTAAAGTTAAGCAAATGATTCCAAGCTTTTAGGCAACTGGTGAATTCCTAATCTTGCCCACGAAGGACAGGCAACTGTCTTCAATAACTTCTTCTTTACTTTAAAGGAAAATCCCCTTTTTAACTTCTCCCAGGCTGACTGTAATCTAACCCTTACTGATGTGGGTTCCGCTACCGCAGTGTTTCTCAATCTTCCTAATGCCGCAACCCCTTAATAGAGTTCCTCATCTTGTGGTGACCCCCAACCATAAAAATATTTTTGTTGCTACTTCATAACTGTAATTTTGCTACTGTTGTGAATTGTAATGTAAATATCTGATGTGCAGGATGTATTTTCATTCACTGGACCAAATTTGGCACAGATACTCGATACTCTGAAATTTGAATACTAGTGGGGTTGGGGGGGGGATTGATTTTGTCATTTGGGAGTTGTAGTTGCTGGGATTTATAGTTCACTTACAATCAAAGAGCATTCTGAACTCCACCAACAATGGAATTGGACCGATCTTGGCACACAGAACTCCCATGAGCAACAGAAAATACTACAAGGGTTTGGTGGGCAATGATCTTGAATTTTGGAGTTGTAGTTCACTGACATCCAGAGAGCATTGTGGACTCAAACAATGATGGATCTGGACCAAACTTGGCATGAATACTCAAATGTGAACACTGGTAGGGTTTGAGAAAAATAGACCTTGTCATTTGGAAGTTGTAGTTACTGGGATGCATAGTTCACCTACAATCAAAGAGTATTCTGAGCCCCACCAATGATAGAATTGGGCCAAACTTCCCACAGCGAACCCCATATGACCAACAGAAAATACTGTATTTTCTGATGGCTTTCGGTGACCCCTCTGACACCCCCTGGCGACCCCTCCAGGGGCCCTGACCCCCAGGTTGAGAAACGCTGCGCTACTGGGTCAAACTGCTTCTCGAAAGCTGAGTGGACCTACCAGTAAAGGCTTAGATGTTCTCCAGCTGGAGTTCTTTGGTCTTTAGGGCTGTTTCCAGGAAATTCTTAAAGGTTGAAGCTTTTGTACAGGGGAAGCTTGCACACATCCTATACATTAGTTTTCCTTGCTAAGACTAACTAAGAAAATGGCTCCCTTCCCTTCCCAATTGCCCTGAGCAAGGGGTGGGACCAAAACTTAATGATGATGGACAGGTGACTTGCCCTATGACTGCAACCAAAGGAAGCCACCTATCTGCAGAGTCCCTGAGACCCAGGACTGCAACCAAACATTTACTACAAAGCAAATAAAGTTGGAGCTCCTGGTACAGCTGTGCCAGAACACCCTCCCACAAGAACAAAATTTGTGCAGTTTAATAAACTTTCTCCATGTTTTTATGATAGAACCAATTAGGAAATGAAATTTATTACCCAGGAAGAAAAATTGTGTAACATAGTGTAATTTGAACTAACAAAAGCAGAGCCATGGAATGATTTATATCTACCTATATGTTGGTTTGCCCCATTCCCATTGGTTCAATGGGTTTATGTCAGCTGCGACCACAACTGGATTGGGGCCAATGCAGCTTCCTTCTCCAAGACTTCCATCTGTCAGGGGTGATTTGAATGCAATATTCCTGCTTCTTGGCAGAATGGGGTTGGACTGGATGGCCCAGGAGGTCTCTTCCAACTCTTTGATTCTAGGATTCTATGACTTTGCCTGACGGCTTTCTCTTTCCCAGCGGCTGATGTGGCGGCGCTCCCATCCCGGTCTGGCCATCTTTGTCCTCTTGGCTCTCTGCTGCTTCCTGGAAGGTAAGTCAAATATCTTGATGAATATTTGACAACATGTATGTCCTTCTTGAATTGCGGAGCCCAGTGTTTTTCCAGGTAAGCCCTGACCAAAGCAGAATAATAATAATAGTAATAATAATAATAGTTTTCTTGCTGCAGCTGAGGATATGATCCATTGTTTCATCAGCTGCTGCAAGAAAACTATTATTATTATTATTATTATTATTATTATTATTATGAGTCACTCTGGACCATGCTCTGACCTACAAGAAGCACTGCATGAACATCAAGCAGAAAGTGGGTGCTAGATACAATATCATACGAAAGCTGACTGGCACAACCTGGGGATCACAACCAGACACAGTGAAGAGACTCCCCTTGCGCTGTGCTACTCTGCTGCTGAGTATGCATGCCCAGTGTGGAACACATCTCACCACACTAAAACAGTGGATGTGGCTCTTAATGAGACATGCCGCATTATCACGGGGTGCCTGCGCCCTACACCACTGGAGAAATTACACTGTCTAGCTGGTATTGCACCACCTGACATCCACTGGGAAGTAGCAGCCAATAGTGAAAGGACCAAGGCAGAGACATCTCCAGCTCATCCCTTGTTTGGGTATCAGCCAGCACGTCAATGACTTAAATCAAGAAATAGTTTTCTAAGATCTACAGAGACACTCGCTGGAACACCTCAGCAAGCGAGAGTCCAAAAGTGGCAGGCTCAAACCCAGAACCTCAATCCGTGGCTGATACCAAATGAGAGACTCCCCCCTGGGCACACAGAAGACTGGGCGACTTGGAAGGCGCTGAACAGACTGCGCTCTGGCACCACGAGATGCAGAGCCAACCTCAAGAAATGGGGCTACAAAGTGGAATCCACAACATGCGAGTGTGGAGAAGAGCAAACCACTGACCACCTGCTGCAATGCACCCTGAGCCCTGCCACATGCACAATGCAACACCAGAAGCACTTCAAGTGGCCAGAGACTGGTCAAAGGACATTTAATCAACTACCAAACTCACACATTTTGTATTTTATCTGTTTTTTTTTTTTTTTTTGCTTTGTTCTGTTAGAAATGTAATATAATCGACTGGTTGCACTGACACGACAAATAAATAAATATATTATTATTATTATTGTTATAGGAATAATCCCATATTGTGTTTTTCATCTCTTCTGCCAGGCACAAATGCCGCTTCCTGTCCTGATGGTTGGCTGGCCTACCAGAACCACTGCTATGGACTCTTCTATGAAAAGCTAACTTGGCATGAAGCAGAGGTACAATCCAACTCTCATCATTTCTTGACACAAAGCCTGAGAAACCAGAAAGCATGGCATATCTGGAATTGAAGATCAGCTGGAAGGGCTTCGTGTATGATGACCCATAGTGGCCTGTTGCCAGGCTGTAGCGAGGGGGGGGGGGTTTAGGGGTTCAACCCCCCCCCCGAAATGTTTCAGATTTTTTAAAAAAACCTGGTTTACTCATGAATTTTAACTGGTTAACCAAATCCCCATGCTGCTAAGTCTATGAGATACAAAAAATTATGAGTCCCTCCAGAACTGCAAGCGCTATCTCAAGCAAATATTGACAATTTATTCACACTGTCATTACTTGCAGCAATAGCCGATGTAGTGAAGCAACCAAGTTGTGGGTGTGGGTGTTGAATGCTCTCATTAAGGAGGCCAGACTTGGTGGAGGTGGTTGACAGGGGCGGAGTTGCAGGCTATTGAAGGCTGCTCTGCCCCCTGCTGTGCTCTTTGCTTCAGCGTGAGCTAGGAGGCAGGTTTCACCCCCCCCTGTGAAAATTCCACCCCCCCTGCGAAAATTTCAAACCCCCCATGAAAATTTCAACCCCCCGCGAAAATTTCAGCCCCCCCCCATGAAAATTTCAACCCCCCTGTGAAAATTTCAACCCCCCCCATGAAAATTTCAACCCCCCTGCAAAAATTTCAACCCCCCATGAAAATTTCAACCCCCCCTCCCCCGCGAAAATTTCAACCGCCCACGAAAATTTCAAACCCCCCCACAAAAGTTTCAACCCCCCATGAAAATTTCAACCCCCCCCCCCCCATGAAAATTTCAACCCCCCCCACGAAAATTTCAAACCCCCCCATGAAAATTTCAACCCCCCTGCAAAAATTTGTGATTTCTATCATTTTTGTGCCCTGTTTTAAGTCCCAACTATAGCCCAGTTCAGACTCAGCATGGTGTAGTTTAGAATAGGCATCCTCAAACTGTTTCAGACTTCAACTCCCAGAATTCCTGGCAATTGAACAAGCTCATTAGGGCTTCTGGGAGTTGGAGGCCCAAACAGCTGGAGGGCCGTGTTTGAGGATGTCTGGTTTAGAATGTTAGCCTAGAACAGTCTGAAGGAGCGTAAAATTACTGCCACCAAATTTGTGAGGAAAGCCGGGCAATGATCAATATCAGCTTAAGAGTTGGTTTATAAAGGGACTATTAATTATAGAAGGATTTATTTATTTGATAGCGTAGCTCTAATTTGGTTCTTGATTTGACCTTTCTTCTTTTGTAGGCTGTTTGACTTAGGAGAAACTGTATCAGGCAAGGCTTGATATACATATCATCATCATCATCATCACTTTATTTCTTAATTAGTCGCTCTCCACCAAGGTGCTCCGAGCGACTTACAATTTAAAACAGTTTATACACAATATAAAACATTCAATATAAAAGCATTCAATATAAAAACATTCAACATAAAAACATTCAGCAGTGACTATGGCAAAATTTGATCCGGTTACTTAAATGCACAGCCAAACAGCCAAGTCTTGAGCGCCTTTGCAAAAGGTCGCAACTCCGACATTGCTCTAATATATGGAGGCAATGAGTTCCACAGAATTGGAGCATAGGTCGAAAAAGCTCTACGATGCCTTGTAGCTTCCAAATGTGCCTCCCTAGGGCCCGGTATGTAGAGGAGATTTTCCTGGGTGGATGGAGGTGACCACGGATGGGGAAAAGGAATGAGGCGGTCCCTAAGATATCAAGGTCCTTGGCCATTTTGAGCTCTAAATGTCAGGATCAGGATCTTGTAAGAGACCCGATGTTCTCTTGGTAGCCAATGCAGTTGTTGCAGAATCGGTGTAATATGGGATCTTATAGATGATCCCGCTAGCAGCCTGGCTGCCGCATTTTGGACCATCTGAATCTTCTGGGTCGTTGACTTCGGAAAGCCGGCATATAAGGCATTGCAATAGTCCAACCTCGTGGTGACTGTTGCATGGATTACTGTTGCCAATGCTTCTACCGAAAGGTTGGATGCCAATTTCTTTGCCTGGCGAAGATGAAAAAAGGCCTGCTTCCTTATGGCAGTGATCTGGGCCTCCATCGTCAGCGATGAGTCCAACACAACCCCTTTAAGGCTTTTCACAGTGGCAGACGGAACCAGAGCTTCCCCATCGAAATCAGACAGAGACGGGATTAATTCTGGCGGCTGGCCGGGCCAGAGGATCTCCGTTTTTGCAGGATTGACTTTGAGTCTGCTTGCTCGTAGCCAACTCATCACTGCTTCCAAACACAGCTTAAAGTTCTCAGGAATCGCAGTTGTTCCAGGTTCGAGACGCAAGAGTAGCTGGGTATCATCTGCATACTGGTAGCACTCTATGCCAAAGCTCCGCACCAGTCCAGCAAGTGGTCGGACGTAGATGTTAAATAACAGGGGCGAGAGGATGGCACCCTGGGGAACTCCACAGCAAAGGCAGGCTTGAGGAGAACAGTAACAAATTTATTTAACAGGAGTATAACATATTCAATTGTTTCTTCACAAGAGGCACAAATCTTGATTGGTTACATTAGTAAGGTTTCATGAGTAACTTTAGGTACAGACTTTAAGAGATTTCTTTGAGTAGATATATCTTTCTTCAACTAGCGTTCTTTTACTACAAATAAGCCACCTGACTTATCTAACTATATTGGCTCACAGCCAAACCCTGATTCTTAATATTAAAGAATCAGTCTTTCCTATAGTTCTCTAACTATAGGATTCCTGCTGGTTTTCCACACACCACAGGATCAACTACCTCTCCTGTAACTCTTTGGTCACAGACTAGTTCCCTGTTTCTCCCACTAGAGAAATCAGTCCTTTCTGCAACTCTAATAGTCACAGACTCTTCCCTGATTCTCCCACTAGAGAAATCAGTCTTCCCTGTAGCTCACCGGCTTACAGACTGCCTATTTCAAACAGCTGCCCCGTGAAGTGACAGTTGGCTCCGCCCCCGTTGCTATGGCAACTCAGCTCAAGCCAAACCAGCCACCATCTCTAACAAAATATAATCCTACATACTTACCATTTATTAACTACTGTTTAAACAACACATAACCATAAGAATAAAAGTTACACATCGTCACAAACAGGCATACTCAACCTGCAACCCTCCAGCTGTTTTGGCCTCCCATTCCCAGAAGCCCTTGCCAGCTTGTTCAATGGTCAGGAATTCTAGGCATTGGAGACCCAAACAGGTGGAATACCACATTTTGAGGATGCCTGGTCTAGAACCTTGCAGAGTAGGATTCAAATACATGTTCAATTTTAGGAAAACTTTTGGTGACCTTGGCCAACTCACTCAACGTCAGAGGAAGGCAATGTCAAATGCTCTCTGGACAAATCTTGCCTCGGAAATCCTGTAGTGGGTTCACCATAGATTGGAAACAACTTGAGGGCACACATGAACACTTAAGTAGTTCTACTGAGTCAATTTGATTTGCCTTCATATTGACCCACCTTTCAACAATGGTTCCAGCATATCTCAATTAGCTGGGACTGACCAACGAGATTCTAGTCCATATTCATAGAATCCTAGAATCCTAGAGTTGGAAGAGACCTCCTGGGCCATCCAGTCCAACTCCATTCTGCCAAGAAGCAGGAATATTACATTCAAATCACCCCTGACAGATGGCCATCCAGCCTCTGTTTAAAAGCTTCCAAAGAAGGAGGCTCCACCACACTCCCTCCGGGGCAGAGAGTTCCACTGCTGAACGGCTCTCACAGTCAGGAAGTTCTTCCTCGTGTTCAGATGGAATCTCCTCTCTTGTAGTTTGAAGCCATTGTTCCTCATCCTAGTCTCCATGGAAGCAGAAAACAAGCTTGCTCCCTCCTCCCTGTGGCTTCCTCTCACATATTTATACATTTGGGAAGGTATGAGCCATGGGGTTGATGGCACCCGATGTGATCACTCATGGTGTCATCTCTATGGACTTCTTTCCAACTGTATGCTGATCTGTTTTAATTGGCCTAATCAACTCCATCATGGCAATAACTGATGTCTCCCCATGCCCTGTATTGGTTACTGAGCTTTGTCAATAAAGCAGCACTTCAAATGCTGCAAATGCAATATTAAGTGCCCAGGATCAATAACCAGAGGTTATGGCTACCTACATTGCCAGACCCTGAGCACATCCTCTTAAACAACAACCAACGTTTGGCTACATTCTGTGGTGGTCACATAGACTCCCAATAAGAATTTCTCAGCTCCATGTTTCACCTGAGCTGATATTTCAGCCCTACCCATCAGTATCACATCATACCACTGTTGTTGTTGTCATCATCACATGCCTTCAACTACTTTGTGACTAGTGGTACTTACAGCAAAGCTTTGCATACACAGCAAGAAGAGAGCAAAAGCAAAAAGATGATACTCATCCTGCCCACCCATATATTGCCCATGTCTTAACGTTCTTCTTCTCTCCATTTCAGGAAGACTGCAAGAGCTACGGCACCAATGGTCACCTGGCCTCCATCCCCAGCTGGGTAGAGTCGGAGGTGATCTCTAATCACATCATCACCAACCACAAGCACATCAAATATGTCTGGATCGGACTCCATGACAAATACCGGGTAAATGCCAATTGCTGTAATTTCCATAGGTTGGCTTGATCAAATCAAGAAATGAGAAGAATGCAGGGATCTCAAATGAGTTCTGTTTATAGGAAGAATGGCGTTCCAATCATAAAAGAAAAAACACGGAGCGGCAAGAGCAGCTTTCTACTAGTGTTGTGTTTAACTGATGTGGGAAGGAGCTCTGGTTTCTTGCAGTGATGCATGAGTGCAAATTCTTTACAGGGTGAAGAACAGAGATCTAGGGCATCTATGGGTTTTTAATGGGTCTGTGAGTAGGAGCCATGATATGCAGGATGTGTACAAACCTTAGGACTTCATTTGGTGGGTTCCCAATAGCCATGCAGGGCATCTATGGGTCTTTAAAGGGGCCTTGAGCGGGAGCCATGATGTGTAGGCTGCTTTCAAGCCTCAGGACTTCGTTTTGTGTCCTTCCAACATCAGTGTAGGTCATCTATGGGTCTTTAAAGGGGCCTTGAGCAGAAACCATGATGTGCCGGCTGCTTTCAAGCCTTAGGACTTCTTTTGGTGTCCTTCCAACATCAGTGTAGGGAATCTATGGGTCTTTAAAGGGGCCTTGAGCAGAAACCATGATGTGCAGGCTGCTTTCAAGCCTTAGGACTTCTTTTGGTGTCCTTCCAACATCACTGTAGGGAATCTATAGGTCTTTTAAGGGGCCTTGAGCAGGAACCATGATGTGTATTTATTTATTTATTTATTTGCTGCATTTGTTGACCGCCGTTCTCAGCCCTAGGGCAACTCACGGCGGTGTACAACATATAAAAAACAATTTACAATAAAGCGATATCACTAATACACAATAATATAATTACACTAAATGATCCGCTCCGTCTTATCGTAGAATCATAACCAATCTCGTAAACCATATTCCGTTCCAGTTGTCGTTACCAGTTAATGTAGCACTCAGTTAAATGCCTTCTCAAATAGCCAGGTCTTTAGGCTCTTACGGAAAGACATAAGGGAGGGCGCCTGTCTGATGTCAACAGGGAGGGTCGTTCCACAGCCGGGGGGCCACCACCGAGAAGGCCCTTTCTCTCGTCCCCGCCAGACGTGCCTGTGAAGCAGGCGGGATCAAGAGAAGGGCCTCCCCAGACGATCTCAAGGTCCTCGTGGGCTCATAGGCCAAGATGCGGTCCGAAAGGTATTTTGGGCCGGAACCGTTTAGGGCTTTGTAGGATAACACCAGCACCTTAAATTGGGCCCGGTAGCAAATCGGCAGCCAGTGGAGCTGGAACAACAAGGGCGTTGTATGCTCCCTGCGTCCTGCTCCTGTTAGTAACATGGCTGCCGCGCGCTGGACTAGCTGAAGCTTCCGGGCCGTCTTCAAGGGCAGCCCCACGTAGAGAGCGTTGCAGTAGTCAAGGCGGGATGTGACCAGAGCGTGTACCACCGTGGCCAAGTCAGACTTCCCGAGGTACGGGCGCAGCTGGCGCACGAGCCTAAGCTGTGCAAATGCTCCCCTGGTCATCGCTGAAACCTGGGGATCCAGGCTCAACGATGAATCCAGGGTCACACCCAAGCTGCGAACCTGCGCCTTCAAGGGGAGTGCGACCCCGTCCAGCACAGGCTGTAACCCTATACCCTGCTCGGCCTTACGACTGACCAGGAGTACCTCTGTCTTGTCTGGATTTAATTTCAGTTTGTTCGCCCTCATCCAGTCCATTACAGCGGCCAGGCACCGGTTCAGGACTTCGACAGCCTCCTTAGTAGCAGGTGGAAAGGAGTGACAGAGTTGGACATCATCTGCGTACAGATGACACCGCACCCCGAAACTCCGGATGATCTCACCCAGCGGCTTCATGTAGATATTAAACAGCATGGGGGACAATATAGAGCCCTGTGGAACCCCACAGGTCAAAGGCTGTGGTGTTGAACAGGAGTCCCCCAATAACACCTTCTGGGTACGGCCCTCCAGAAATGACTGGAGCCACTGCAGCAGTGCCCCCAAGACCCATTTCCGCAAGGCGCCCCAGAAGGATACTGTGGTCGACAGTATCGAAGGCCGCTGAGAGGTCCAGGCGCACCAACAGGGACACACTCCCCCTGTCTAGCTCCCGGCGCAGATCATCCACTAAGGCGACCAAGACCGTCTCGGTCCATGTCCCGGTCTGAAACCAGACTGTGCCGGATCCAGATAATCCGTGTCTCTCAAGAATACCTGGAGTTGTGAGGCCACCACGCTTTCCCTGACTTTGCCCAAAAAGGGGAGATTGGAAACAGGCCGAAAGTTGTCAAATTTAGTGGGGTCCAGTGATGGTTTCTTCAACAGCGGTTTTATAATAGCTTGTTTTAAGCTCGCTGGAATCTTGCCTTCCCGAAGGGAGGCATTAACCACCACCGTTACCCACTCAGCCAATCCCCCTCTGGCCTCCTTCAGAAGCCAGGATGGGCAGGGGTCTAGGATGGACGTGGTGGGCCTCATTCCTCCAAGTATCTTGTCCACATCCTCGGGCTTCACAAACTGAAAAGAATCCATCAAAATAGGACAAGCAGGTGCTCGTGTCACATCCTCAGAGACTGCATTTAACATGGTGTCCAGCCCAGAACGGATCAAGGCGACTTTGTCTGCAAAGAACCGAGCAAATGCTTTGCAGCGCGTGACCGAATTGTCAGGGCTCCCGCCTGAGGTGGCGGGAGTTAAAAGACCTCTGACAATCCGAAACAACTCCGCCGGACGGTTTTTTGCAGACGCAATAGTGGCCGCAAAGAAAGTTTTCTTTGCGGCTTTTATTGCCGCGGCATATGCCTTTAGAAAGGACACAAACCGTGCTCGATTTGACTCGCTTGGGTCCGAACGCCACACGCTCTCTAGTTCCCTCTTCCTTCGCTTCATCACTGCCAGCTCCTCAGTAAACCAAGGAGCTGGTTTAGCTCGGCTACTTGAGAGGGGACGTTCCGGAGCGATCATGTCAATTGCCCTGGTCATCTCCCCATTCCAGAGAGCGACCAAGGCCTCGACATGGTCACCTACCGAGGTGGCGGGAAAATCCCCAAGAGCCGTCAGGAATCCATTCGGATCCATAAGCCTCCTGGGGCGGACCATCTTAATGGGTCCTCCACCTTTGCGGAGGTTAGGGGGCGCAGTGAGCCTAAATCTGATCAGGAAGTGGTCAGTCCATGGCAACGGAGAGATGGACAACTCCTCCACACCGCCACCCTGCTCCCATCCCTGGCAGAAAACCAAGTCCAATGTGTGTCCAGCACAGTGGGTGGGGCCAGATATTGTTGGGACAGCCCCATGGTTGCCATGGCAGACATGAAGTCCTGAGCCGCTCCTGTGAGGGCCGCCTCGGCATGGACATTGAAGTCTCCCAGCACAAGGAGCCGTTGAGACTCCAACGCCAGGCTCGAGACCACCCCCGCTAGCTCAGGTAAGGAGACTGTAGTGCAGCGAGGTGGACGGTACACTAACAGAATCCCTATTCTGTCCCGGTCACCCACCCTCAGGTGGACGCATTCAAAATTTGTGGTCTGCGGGATGGGACTCCTGGTCAGATGGATGGAATCTCTATAGACCACTGCGACCCCGCCTCCCCGTCCTCCGGATCTCGGTTGGTGCTGTACGGAGAAACCTGGAGGACAAAGCTGGGTAAGATTCACCCAGCTTCATCCAGCCAGGTCTCCGTAATGCACGCCAGATCTGCCCGCTCATCCAGGATTAAATCCTGGATAAAGGTCGTTTTTCCGTTGACAGATCTGGCGTTCAACAGCACCACCTTCAATCCAGAGGGCCCGCTCACCTGGTTACACCAATTTACCTTAGGAGACCGGTTTGGGATTATTAATGTAGATAAGCGGTCCGAATTAGGCCGAATTTGAGGTCTCCTTTTTCCGCATCTCCCCCTCCCCACCACGACCTCTATGGGGGCCCCTCGGCTAGCGGAACACCTCCCCTCCTCCATGCCGCAATCCAAAACCAAGGTCTTAGTTTCTGTTTCGCTAGTTGTTTGGTTTGTTGGCCCTTGCCAACTCCCTTGCTCCCCTTCCTCCCCCCTCCCCGCCTCATTTTTGTTCACAGGCTCCAGCCCACCTCCTCCCTTGCCCCTTCCACTGGTCAGTAGTAACAGGGACAGTACAAATAGGGGGATGGGGAACCACATGGATAACAATAGATTCAGATGGTGATAGGCGTTCCAGCCACACCAGTTAGGTAGTTCGTAAAGTGCAAGAGTCTTAAAGTGCAACACAGTCAATAACACGACTCAGTCAACAACACAACTGCGTGCCGTTGGGGCAAATTCATAAAGTGCAAAGATCTTAAAGTGCAACAGATACCCGAAACTGGCTCTCAACGCTAACTAAAGTGCGGCATAGAGGGATAAGGAAGGGGGCGTAAGTGCTAGTATAGTTTAGCAGCAAGTGGCAGGCGCCTTAAAGTGCTGAATGCGTTCTTATATCAAATTAGCAGCGAAAGACAACCAAGGAACGTACTATGTTAGTAATATGAACACACTATTACGAAGATGCTGGTGATAGCAATTAGATAAGGTTGTTATGATTCAAGGTGTAATCTCTAGACGGTTGATATAAAAAGCGGGTGGGTCTTCAATCTTCCGGAGATGGTCAACATGGCGGTGGTCAGCACAATTGGTCTATCACAATATCTATCAACACAAAGAAGGCCAGCACAAAAGGTCTACACAATATCAGTCAACACAGCAACACAGCAGAGGTCAGCACAAAAGGTCTATACGCGGCTTGCCCAGATGGTGGAGGCCCAAGTGGTAGAAGATGGTAAGGCCGTTCAGGACACGACAAGCCTTGTTGCAGGCACTGCTGGACGATAGAAATCAGCTGGAACGCCGGGACTGGAAAGATGGAAAACCAGGGAGGGCCAGGAGATCAGCCGGGGCGACGGGGCCAGAGCGATGGAAAGCCAGCGGGGCCCAGGACTCAGCACCTCCAGATCGCGGTGTGGTGGCGCGGCGACGCCGGCAAGCAGCCAAGATGGTCAGAGGCCAGTCAAGCCGCATCCAATCCAGCCCGAGCGGCGAGGGGAGGGAGCGCATTCAAGCCAGAAATGGCGGCGGCCGAAACGCTCTACCTCTTGGGGGACGAGCTGCTCGGCAATGGTAATCCCCGACTTCCCGCCGGCAGAGATGGACGTAGTAGCTGGTTATTATGTTGTTATGTGGCGGCTTCGGCCCTAGCAATAAGCCCTAACTCGCTCCGACACCCCACGGAGGGGAGAGCGAGGCCCGATGGTGAGGGCAGCACGGCTCACACAGCCAGGGCCCGGCTCAAGCGATCCCCGCGGCGATCCAGCTGGTGTAGGCCCCCCAATGGAGGCTCAACTCGTGGCGCTCGCGGCGGCAGCTTCGGCGCCGGCTGCTAGAAAAGGCTACAACAAGGCTCCAACTCACTCTTTCCCAGCGCTCTGCAGCGGGAGCAGGGTGATAATCGGCGGCGGCGGCTCACTTCCTCTCGGCCTCCTGGCCGCCTAACCGTGGTTCGTTTCCTCTTGGCCTCCTGGCCGCCTGGCTGCTTCTCTTTCCAGCCGCCTCCTCCACGCCGCAGCGAGATCCGGCAACGACGGCAAGGCGCCAAGATGGCGACCGCAGCAGCCGCGGCGCGCTCCGCAGCGGCCCAGCAGCGACAGTAGCCGCAGCCCAGGCGGCAGAGCCCCCCAGCGGGAATCGAAGCCCCCGGATCGGAGCCCAGGTGGACCAGGCCGACCAGGCCGACCAGGCCCAGATAGGTAGGTCTCTTGAGAGGGGAGCCGCGTTGTAGGCCTGGGCGGTTTCGTTTCGTTAATTCGTAATTCGTTAATAATTCGTTAATTTTTCCAATTACAAAACGATAACGAACCATTCTGGAGCAATTATTTAAAAAAACGAATTTTTAAATACGTTTTGTAAATGCTTCGTATTTCGTTATTGTGTTCGTTTCGTTATTGTTTTGAGGTCGTTTCGTTATTATTTCCGCATGTCTGGGCCAGTTTTATGGTTTAATTAGTGAAAAAAAATTATAATATCACACCAACAGTCAACAACAGAGGGAGAGGGAAGCTTCAGAAGTTTTTGGAGGTTTTTTAGCGTATTTCGCGGTCGCGTCCGCCATTAACGAATCGATTCGTTATTGTTTCGGAAATCGATTCGTTAATTTTTTACCATTTACGAAATTTCGTAAATATCGAACTTTTTTAAGGGAAAATTTTGTAATTATTTTAAATATCGAAACAAAAAAAACCCCAAATACAAATCGATTTTAGAAACAAATTTTTCCGTTGTTACCCAGGCCTACCACGTTGTAATGGCGGCGGCGTTCCCTTGCCTACCTCCGCCTTCTGGTTCACTCTCCCCGGCTCCTTTGCTCTCTCCAGCTCTCTTTCAGGCTTGGTAGGACCGTAGAGGGTGTTGACCCTCACACCCCCTTATTTTGGTGGTCGAGGGGGGGGAGGATTCTTTAAGATTCTTTAAGATTGTTTCTCCTCTGTCAGCGCAGCTCAGCGTTGCTGCTGCTGACCGCCATACCGGAACCGGAAGTACAGTGTAGGCGTTCTGCAAGCCTTAGGACTTCTTTTGGTGTTCTTCCAACATCAGTGTAGGGCATCTATAGGTCTTTTAAGGGGCCTTGAGCAGGAACCATGATGTGCAGGCTGCTTGAAAGCCTTAGGACTTCTTTTGGTGTCCTTCCAACATCAGTTAGAGCATCTATAGGTCTTTAAAGGGGCTTTAAGCAGGAACCATGATGTGCAGGCCTTTTGCAAGCCTTAGGACTTCATTTGGTGGCCTCCTAACCAAGGACAATGCTAAAGCACCTTTTCCTCTCTACGCTTTGGCTGGATTTTCACCTCAAGTCTACCCAAGACACCTCCAAATTTGGGCACTTTGGGTCCTCCTGCATGAACAATCCTACAAACCCCTACAACCCTTGGTCATATTTGAGCCAAATCCTGGAAGTGACACAGTATCAAGCTCTGGTTTTCCAGAAGCAACAGTGTGGATTAAGTGGGGTGGACAGATAGAGGGATGGAAGCAAATGGTGCCTCTTTCCTTTACAATTGACCAGCCTTGGATCTGAACCTAAAATTGACCAATCTTCTACCTTGATAATTTTGGGATTGGGTGCAAATGGATGGCAGATGAGTAGAAGATGTCTTCTTTGTAGAGAGAGAAAGCAGGATAATAATAATAATAATAATAATAATAATAATAATAATAATAATAATAAATAATTTATTGTCGAAGGCTTTCATGGCTGGAATCACTAGATTCTTATGGGTCTTTTCGGGCTATAGAGCCATGTTCTAGAGGCATTTCTCCTGACGTTTCGCCTGCATCTATGGCAAGCATCCTCAGAGGTTGTGAGGTCTGTTGGAAGTAGGAAAAATGGGTTTATATATCTGTGGAATGGCTGGGGTGGGGCAAAGAGCTCTTCCCTGCTGCAGTTAGGTGTGAATGTTTAGCTGATCACCTTCATTAGCATTTGAAGGCCTGCCTGAGCCTGGGAAAATCTGTTGCTGGGAGGTGTTAAGATGTCCCTGCCTGTTTCCTCTCTGCTGTTTTGCTGTTATAATTTTAGAGTTTTTTAATACTGGTAGCCAGATTTTGTTCATTTTCATGGTCTCTTCCTTTCTGTTGAAATTGTCCACATGCTTGTGGATTTCAATGGCTTCTCTGTGTAGTCTGACATGGTGGTGGTTAGAGTGGTCCAGCATTTCTGTGTTCTCAAATAATGTGGACAAGTCTACATAGGGACCACCAAACGCAGCGCCCAGACACGCATCAAGGAACATGAAAGGCACTGCAGACTACTTCAACCAGAGAAGTCAGCCATAGCAGAGCACCTGATGAACCAGCCTGGACACAGCATATTATTTGAGAACACAGAAATGCTGGACCACTCTACAACCACCATGTCAGACTACACAGAGAAGCTATTGAAATCCACAAGCATGTGGACAATTTCAACAGAAAGGAGAAAACCATGAAAATGAACAAAATCTGGCTACCAGTATTAAAAAACTCTAAAATTATAACAGCAAAATAACAGAGAGGAAAAAACCAGGCACATCTTAACACCTCCCAGCAACAGATTTTCCCAGGCTCAGGCAGGCCTTCAAATGCTAATGAAGGTGATCAGCTAAACATTCACACCTAACTGCAGCAGGGAAGAGCTCCTTGCCCCACCCCAGCCATTCCACAGATATATAAACCCATTTTTCCTACTTCCAACAGACCTCACAACCTCTGAGGATGCTTGCCATAGATGCAGGCGAAACGTCAGGAGAAATGCCTCTAGAACATGGCTCTATAGCCCGAAAAAACCCACAAGAACCTAATAAATAATTTGTTTCCTTGGCAAATATTCTGTTTCCTTGTCTCTTTTTGTAGATCCGAATATTTTACTGGACGGATGGCTCCAGAGTGACGTTCAAGGCATGGGCTCAGTTTGAACCTGAGACTTTCACAATCTTCAAGAATTGCGTCCATCTAATTGACTTTAAGAGTAAGAAGATCATGATCAGACTCCTATATCCAGGTTGCAGAGTGAAAACCATTGCATTAAATGGACTATCCTTGTCTTCAACGGTGACAATTGTGCAGATGAACTGGGACACCAAAGCCTAAATGCTAACAATTACCGTATTTACTCAATTCTAATGCTCACCTCTTTAAAAACTAAATTGTCTTCACAAAAGTAGGGTGCACATTAGATTCGTGTTATATGGCAAATACTTTTTTGGGTTTCAAGATTTCAAAAATTTTATTCATTTATTTATTTTACAGTATTTATATTCTGCCCTTTTCACCCCACAGGGGACTCAGGGAGGATCACAATGCACATATACATGGCAAACATTCAATGCCATAGACACACAACACATATAGACAGACACACAGAGGCTATTTAATTTTCCAGCTTCATGAGGGTATGCTTTGAATTCTTGCCACTGGGGGAGCTGTTGCTTCACCGTCCACTTGTGACACCAATGGAGTACTTCCTCATTCTTTTGCACGCTGCTGGAGAGTTTTATGGTGTTGTAAATTAGGTAAATTAGTTAAATTAGCCTTCCCACATAAGCAGTACCTAAATTTCCTACTTGACAGGTGCAACTATCTTTCAAGCTGTAAAGGTCAATGGCAAGGTAGACAAATGGTCGGGAGCTTACTCTGACCCGGGCTGGCTTTGAACTCATTACTTTTCAGTCAGTAGTTATTTTAATGCAGCTGACTCCAACCAGATGCACAACAACCCGGTCCAAATTGAGGTGAACTTTAGATTTGATGGCTCATAAGACTCAAGTATATACAGTAATTTCAACCATGATAGGCTCATTGGATGAGTTACTGAATGGTGAACCAATACATAGCTAGATCTTCCCAATTTGATAGTTCTAAGTTAGTTGAGCCTGCATCATGTCTAGTTTGGAAAACAAATGCCCTCAATGCCCCAGTTTATCTCCCTTCTTCCATTTTTCTCTCTTGTTCTTCCACTTATTTTCAGCCTGATTCGAAAACACAAAAGTAATTTGCATTTAGTGAATTCCTACTGCGAACCACAATGAATCCTCTTCGGAGTTGAGAACACAAATACCACAAATAAATAAATAAATTTTATGATTCTATGAACTCATCTGGAAGGAGATAGAGCCACCGTGGCTTAATTTTATGGGAAGCTTGGGAGCTGTAGTTTTACAAGGCCTTGAGCCTTCACTGCCAAAGAGTTCGTGTGTCTCCCCAAACTACAGTGCCCAAGATTCCATAGCATTGAGCCACAGCAGTTTAAGTGGTGTCAAACAGCATCAATTCTTCAGTGTAGCTGCACCCTCTGGTGTCTCTTGCCTGTAGACACCTCAGTTTTCATTTGTGAAACATCTGATGGAGTTGAATAATAGAATCAAAGAGTTGGAAGAGACCTCATGGGCCATCAAGTCAACCCCGTTTTGCCAAGAAGCAGGAATATTGCATTCAAATCACCCCTGACAAATGGCCATCCAGCCTCTGTTTAGAAGCTTCCAAAGAAGGAGCCTCCACCACACTCCGGGGCAGAGAGTTCCACTGCTGAACGGCTCTCACAGTCAGGAAGTTCTTCCTCATGTTCAGATGGAATCTCCTCTCTTGTAATTTGAAGCCATTGTTCCATTGCGTCCTAGTCTCCAAGGAAGCGGAAAACAAGTTTGCTCCCTCCTCCTCCCTGTGGCTTCCTCTCACATATTTATACATGGCTATCATATCTCCTCTCAGCCTTCTCTTCTTCAGGCTAAACATGCCCAGCTCTTTAAGCCACTCCTCATAGGGCTTGTTCTCCAGACCCTGGATCATTTGAGTCACCCTCCTCTGGACACATCCTAGCTTAGAGTCAATATCTCTCTTGAATTGTGGTGCCCAGAATTGGACACAATATTCCAGGTGTGGTCTAACCAAAGCAGAATAGAGCATGGGTGGCATGTATAGGCTTTCATGTCCGGAATCACTTGGTTGTTTTAGGTTTTTTTGGGCTACATAGCCATGTTCTAGAGGCATTCTCTCCCAACGTTTCACCTGCATCTATGGCAAGTCTGAGACCTCACAACCTCTGAGAATGCTTGCCATAGATGCAGGCGAAACGTCAGGAGAGAATGCCTCTAGAACATGGCCATATAGCCCTAAAAAACCTAAAACAACCCATGGGTAGCATGACCTGGATCTAGGCACTAGACTCCTATTGACGCAGGCCAAAATCACATTGGCTTTTTTTGCCACTGCTTCACATTGTTGTCTCATGTTTAACTTGTTGTCCATGAGGACCCAAGATCTTTTTCACATGTACTGCTCTGTGAAAAAGATGTTGGGGTCCTCATGGACAATAAGATGTATGACAATAAGATGAAGGGTCAAATGATTGCAGTATTGGAATGCAGTTTATGCTTTTATGAACTGAGTACATTCATTGTGCAGTTGCAAAAAAGTACCATTGTGATGTTACTGTCAGATGATTCTGACAGTAACATCACAATGGTGGGCCCATCTTTGGCCAATGGAGGACTCGGCCAAGAAGAACAGGGGCTTCCAGGGGTTTAATACCATTTCTTTCCTATCTTCTAGGTTATAAGGAATGGGCTGCTGTCGAGTGCGACGAAAAGGCTTCCTATTTGTGCAAGTTCAGCTCCTCCTAAGAAAGGCCAAGGCATCTCCTGGTCATCAACACCAGATTGCTAGGACTTCTCCTTGGCTTGATCCTTTCACCCTCCAATAATATCCTGGCCCTGTTTGGATGTGGTTAAGCTTTCTCTGGGCAAAGATTGCAATAAACACATTCTTTTAAACCACAGATAACTTTCTGCTCATCCCTTTCTTTATTATTGCTATTAGTGACTGTTGGATTAGGATCTGAGTCTTGGAATGTTAGCCCTTTTTGGTCTCAATTATCTCTACACTGCATAATTAATGCCCTTTGATGCCACTTCCATTGCTGTGGTTCAATGTCATTGGACGATGGAGTCTTTATAGAAAAGTGCTAGTATCTTAAGGTAAAGGTAAAGGTTGTCCCCTGACATTAAGTCCAGTCATGTCTGACTCTGGGGTGTGGTGCTCATCTCCATTTCTAAGCCAAAGAGCCAGCGTTGTCCATAGACACCTCCAAAGTCATGTGGCCAGCTAGTATCTTACTGAACTACAAATCCCAGGACTTTAATATCAGCCATGTGAAGTCCCACTCTTGGAAGTCTAACTCATTTTCTTGGATACTCTTTGGGAGCTGGGTGTGCCCACAATTTGCAAATTTAACTATGGAGATTGGAAAAACACATTGGAAAATACAGTGTTCCCTCACTTATCGCGAGTGTTACATTCCAGGACCACCCGCGAAAAGTGAAAATCCTTGAAGTAGGGATGATATATTGGGCATGGTTAGGTGCGGTTGGAATCTTCGTAATTCGGAATAATTTGGAAAGATTTGCTTTTTGAAGCAATTTCGAAGTTTTTGAGGAAACCGGAAGTCCCTTTGCCCTTCCAAAGCTTTTTCTGCCATTTCTTTTACGAAGCAGTAAGTGAGTCGGAAATGATTCAACGTTTCCCCGCTTCTGGTCCCTGGCCTCGGCTCAAGCCTGGGAATTCATTTTAAACCAGAGTGGATGAATTTCCTCCCTCTCATCTCCCCTCGCTTCTGTCTCAAGCCTGGGAAGCGTTTTAAACCAGAGTGGATGAATTTCCTCCTTCTCATCTCCCCTCGCTTCTGTCTCAAGCCTGGGAAACGTTTTAGACCAGAGTGGATGAATTTCCTCCCTTTGCTCCCCCCCTCCCCCCACGCACGCTTCTGGAGTAAAACAACCACTTTCAAAGTAAAGACCACCCAATGAAACTGGAAATAACACTTTCAAACCATTAAAGAAGGATTCGGAAGTCTCGGAAGTTTCAAAAAGTTTTGAACATTTTTTTTATGTGAAAATTGGAATTGATTAGAATCGAACCACCAGTGCCCCCTACTGTTGGGGTTCAGCCTGAGTTTGAACCTGATTTTCTGTTTGTACCTCCTGATGCTAATGAAAATATATTTACTGATGCTAATGAAAATGTACTCCCTGATGCTAATGAAAATGTACCTCTTGATGTCAATGCTCCTGAAATTAGTGAGGAAGAAACTTTTGTAGATTTGGGAAATGAAAGTACCAGTGTTCATGAGAATGTTTCAGAGGGAAGCCATGACCTTTCACTCCCTTCTGCACCTGGGAACCTTAATGAGAATAGAAGGGGCCAGATCTGCCAAGACAGGAGTCAATCACTCAGCTTGTGAAGGTCTTCCAGATTAAAAGAAATACAAACAAAGGCTTCAAAGCAGGGAGGCATATCACGAAACCAATTCCTCGGCTTTAAGTGCCTTCCGCCGGGCTGACTTTCTCAGTTCAGGCATTGTTTTA